AAAAATGGTTAATTAGACGGGGAAAGGTGATGACAGATAAATGTTGTACTAAATATCCCGAACGAATGAAAATTTCGCTAAAATTCCTATCATTCTTGCCCWTGTAAACAAGCTGTGACGTCATAATGTTATAGGTCAATTAAAATGATAAATCATTCTCTTATAGCACATAAATAATGACGTCTCAATACTAGACTATAGAACCCTTTGCACTGAGTCCCTAGAGGAATTGTTCTTTGGGACAAAACAAAAGAAAAGACGGCCTATTGTTTTGTCCCCCAGAAATTGCTCTAGGAAATCAATACAACAGGACTATGCTACACAATGTTCAGATACAGTAGCTTGTTTACCTGTAGACTTGAACTCTAAAACCAGTCAGCGTAAATGGTCCTAGAAAACAACCACATGATTTTATCCTCTTAATACACACACTCGATTGCAGAAACGTTGTAGCATACATTAACACAAATATCTAATTTATTCAGTATATTTAATGATATACAAAACAGAAAAATCGCTTTATTTATTTGTTTGTTTCATTTGATGACTGTCAAAATATTTTTTTCTTGCCTATTATGTAGATCGTACAGATTATAAATCAGTTGGTTTTAAGTGCTGAAAATGGTTGCATCTCATTATGTGTCATTTATTACCATCATTTGTTATGGAAACAAAAAAATCCTGGGCTTGAGATTTGTAGTTGTAGCAACAACTGTCATACTGCAGAACGCTTAACTAATTTTTCTTGTTAAATTAATACTGATATTTCATGCATACCATATATTAGAATGCCTTGAGATTTCTGTAATGTCTGCCAGTTAACAAGCTCTTCTAAAACTTTACTGTTATTCCTCAGAGCTGGTTGTAAGCCATCATCTTCTTGATATGGTCTCATCTCATTAGTCTGACAAAATGCCCTGTGGTTGTGAATATTCATATGTTTAGACTTCCTTTACCTCAAATGAATCACTTCAAGCGCAAATGAACCCTTTGACAATACATTCAGTACTGGTTCTGCATAAAGTAAATGGTTGATTGGTAAAATATTTCTTGATTTGAGAGATGTGTCTCTAAGTTATGAAGGTTTTTACTCCCAATATGTTAATGATGATGACGTCAGGTAAGGTATTTGAGTGTATTTGAGTCCTTGGACTGRAACAAAATTAATTCAGTTCAGGGACATATCTGTCCCTCAAGTCTTTCAAACAAATAACCTCCCGAATGAGTAATGAGTATGAGAAGTCATTTCAAAGCCTCCAAATCAGAGTGGGTGGGGTTTCAAGTCCTTGCARTTAGTACCAGTCCTCATTGTCGGCTTTAAAATATTACATCAAAGATCACCTACTGGTAGTTAGTCATATGATACATACCTRACATGATCGCCCAAGAATTCCACACCTATTGACTGATTTTCATCCAAACCATGCTTGTCAACAAGTGGATAGAATGTCTGACAAAACAATACAAAAACATGTAGTTAGGACTATAATGATCGATGAGCAAAGTTAATTGAACATCAAAAATCACATGATTTATCAATTCAATGCCAAGATCTAAATATAATTTAGAAGTATCTTAGTTTGTCTGGGTGAGTCAATATAAGTCCTCTTACCAAAGCAGGCCACAGAAGAGATCTTCTGGGGTAGTTAGGGTCATACCGTTGGGCCCAAACCATATCTTTTTCAACCAGAAATAGCTTCCACGCATCACTATAGACATGTAACCACTCTCTTGTCGTCCAATCCTCATTGTCATATTCAACTAAAACCTTGAACAAGTTTGCATAAAATGATTAGAACAACAGCGTATCCAATATAGATAGAAATAAATAGAGGATATTATATGGGTGCGCGGAGATACGAAATTTATCTTCGAGTGTTGAAAAGATCTCTCACGAGTGAGCGCAGCGAACGAGTGAGAGATTTTCAACACGAGAAGAAAAATTTCGTATCTCCAAGCGCCCATGTAATATTATGTTTATTATATGATTATCCATAAAATCAACTTAACAAGCTTTTTATTATTACAAAAAGTTTTCATTTATAAACACATGGAAACGATATTTTCACATGTGAAATTCACATGTGAAAATATCAGTTTTTTGAAAAGGAGAAACATAGGTATTTTATGGATAATTATATGATAAATTCTATTAATGTATTCTATTGATATATGTGCGTGTGTATGTACATGTTTTTTTATATATAGAATACAGTATATATTCCTTTATTTAATACATTTTAACTTTACCTAGGTTTTATATTTCATTAACTTCATAATATATTCAGTTTATTATTTTCTTAGTATTGAAAATGTGTAGCTACCCTGTCGATATGCTCCAATAAATCGTTACATGTATTATCAATATTATTATCATGGCAGTAGGAATGTCTGGATGCCCAGAGAAAAATAAAGCTTTGGTTGTGGTTGAGCRGATAACCGTAACCAACCCCAACATTTACTAAAATCTAACAATGACAGTTACAATTGAAAAGGAATGATGATAAAAGCTAAAAAAAAGAATTTTAAATTCAAGAATATATTAAATTATTATTATTATTATTAAAAAGGAACAGTGAGAGAGAGGGAGGGAGGAGAAATGTTGTAAATTACATTCAAAAGTTAAATTGGCACCCCAAAAACCAATGATATCATATATAACTATRATTACATAGAAACATAGAAACTGCATAAAAACTAAAAAATTGCATCCTGTTCTTAAGATGAACGCTAATGTGTGTAGTGCGGGTGATCATGCTATGTTTTTAACGTAAGAGTTCAGCTGTTCAAACCTATTACTTCCAAACTATTCTTTTTTTTAAATGTCATTCTATATTCTTAACGTAAGTTTTCAGCTGTTCAAATCTATTATTTTCAAACTATTCCTTTTTAAAGCTACTTTGAAGTATAAAGACTATTACCACGCTTTTATAAACATCGATAACATGAAGATTGTTTCTTACTAGTACYTTATATTATAGACTTTAGGAATAGTGAAAAGGGTATCAAGACGTTTTATTTGTATACATAAAACATCTCGAACTTAGAAAAACATGTATATTGTATATCAAGGGCACATGTTGATATAAGCTTACACAGATAAATTATGACACACACTACTGAGGGCTTCATTAGACWATCGTTCACTAAAGAAATTGGGTTATAAATGATATGATAAAGAATAGACTAACGACTCCAYGAATAATAACCACGATCGGAACATTTAATCCATGTGTGATGCATTTCACGTTAGTTTATTTTAACGAAAATTAATCACGGTTGAAATGTCCATGTCAAAATCCAATAAAACAGAGTCACTCTCGAACAAAGGGATTTCTACAGTATACCTTTTGATCTTGGTGGCTGCTGTCTTGCTCAGTACAAGCTCTTATAATTCCACATTTCCACTCGTAATCTAAGGGATTTGAGAGTCTGTTTGATCGTGAGTTTGGTCTGCTACTATTTGATCTTGTGTCGCGTACACAAAGAAACCGTTTGCCAACCAACTCCTTCCTAAACGGGTACATTTTCACCAAAATCTTCCACTAAACACCATTAAAATCTCCTTGTGATTCCTTCATGATGTAAACTAGGAGTCTTGCGTTGAATCCAAGGGTTCTATCAAGGGTTTTCGTTAATAAATACAGTCAAATCGAATGTTTGAGGGTTGAACAACYTGACAGAAACATCGCCTGCCTGAAGTCTGCCATCATGCATACAATACGCTTGCGCACCTACTGGCTAACCGCAGGTCTAATCTGCTATTTTTAGCTCACATTTCTTTAATATTTGTATTTATTTTATTTATTTTCCCATCAAATAAATTAAAGTTAAATTAAAAAAAAGTTTTTAAAATCAATGCCGCTACAATAGGCATTCTCTCTAATTTCAAATCTAATTCAGCTTTTAAAAATTAATTAACGTATAGGGGATCCGATCGGATGTGTGTTCAAGGTCTTCTCATGTTAGCGGGTAAGTACCTGTAAGCTTAATTCTATCAAAGATCAAGGAAAAAGTATTAAAGAGTTTCGCCTTCTTCAAGAGATCTTTAAACTCGACAACATATCTAAGTACCAGGACTAAGTTAGTACTTCCAGAGTCGTTAGTAAGAGGCCAGCCCCCGTACAGGGGCGTCATTTTAGCGGGCTTTTTAGAGTCAGTCACCGACTTCAACGGTTGATGACTTGCGGAATGATTCAATCAACAAGTGGCTGAGMCTCGAGGATTAGCGCGTGTAAGGAGTGTTTATCCGGTTCACACACACTTTTTTWAAAATCTTTTGGTGAAGCCGTTCTTAGGATCGTCACGCAACGAARCGAAACGTTGCGTGAAGACCCTCAGGACGGCTGCAAAGGAGGCTAGATGACCTACGGAGGGACATTAATTATTGGTATCCGTATCGCGGGTCCGGCGTACATTGAGACCGGGGATTTAACGCGCTTTTAACCCTATGCACGTGAATGGGGAGACAGGGAATAAGCGAGGTGTGTCTATATGTAGCGGGGATTTTAACGCTGGATGGACCGGAAGTCACGGTTGATTTTGAAGACACGACGTTGCAAAGGTTCAGGGTCTAGTGGGGTGGGGTTTTCACTTACCACTCAATACTAACRTGTCTTGTGCAGCATTGTTGATATAGGGTTATAGATTAGAACTTAATATTAACGGGAGAAAAATGCGATTTTCTGTGCTACGAATTTATTGAAAGATACTGAATTATACGAAATGGTCGATCTTGATACTATYTTCGATATATATTTTCTTSATGCTCATAAAAATRTCTAGCTATTAAGGAATAWTTTATTTACATTYACCAAATTACAAGCACGCCCTCTCAATTTATTCAAGCAGACTAGACYTCTTTACCTTGGGCGTAATGTTTTCCCATTYCAGACCACGTGTCGTTCCATAGAGTATCATAAAAAGACACATGAATATGAATACAACTCAAACAAACAATTTCGTTCTTAAGAGCATGACACAGTCTGAAATGGGTCTATTTACAATATATATATTATTACTTAGTTTAATCTATTTTTTAATTCTGAAACTAACTGCGTCAAATGCATGAAATATTCTCCATCCTCGTTATCGACATCTTTGGCAATATTTTGCCATTCTGTTTGTAAATTGTCAAGATTATTAAAAATTTTCGAAGTTTTGAATTCTTGTCGGCAGCCAACTGCCATAATGTTCAGAGCATGTAAGACTTTCTCTCTTGTGTCGTTATCTGTTGTGTGAAGAAGATCTGGGACTAATYTACACCAGCCCTGTTTGACCATCACCTTTAGAAGAGGTACTCTGAAATAATAAATTGAAATATARCATAAAAAGATGAAAATAATAATATCAATCAATTTGCCTATTATGGGAATCGAGGTTGGTGTAGCGGTTGTGCACTCGTCTATCACCTCTTGTGTCTAATAGGTCCAATTCCTGGACTCAGTATCACATGTGAGTAAAGTTTGTTAGGTCTCTACCTTGATTTGAGAGTTTTCTCCTTCCTCTCTGGTTAAATTCCTCCCTCTATAAGACAACACTTTAAACTAACTATTCTATCTGTGTGTTAGCCATGCCCTGACTAATTAGAAAAGCTCTGAGGTTGTTTCAGGGTTCAATCTGTGAGTTAGCTGCAGTGCCCTGACTTAGATCAGCCCAGAGGTTGTTTCAGGGTTCTATCTGTGAGTTAGCTGTGCCCTGACTTTAATCAACCCAGAAGATCGTTTCAGGGCTCCATCTGTGTGTCAGCCATTCCTTGACTTAGATCACTCCAAAGGTTGTTTGGCAGGGTTCRATCTGTGAGTTAGCAGTGCCCTGACTTTGTTCAGGTMATCAAAATGTACTYGTAGACTGACATTAAGGTAAGCAACTTACTGTTTCAGAATTGATGYWATGTCTTGAGCACCCTGCTGCTTTGCTTTTTTCTTTACCAAATCAAACTGTTCAGTGAGAATATCTGTCRTCAATGTTACAATTTTAGTCCTTATTTGTCCAGTACCRGGTTCAACTAGAATCTTTAGAAGAKTTTCCATTCCATTCATCTTGAGAAACTCTTTTTGAGTTGTAGAGCACAAACGAATTAAAGCRGAAAGAGCATACAAAGCTTTGCGTCGAACTTTCATTGAATGGTGAGGTGATAGTAATCTTAAGAGTATGGTCAAGGCACCATACTTTTGTGCTGCTTTCTGCACAGTGGGGTTGCTGAAAAATAACAACAGTACCATCAACATCGTTTTTTTTTTACATTTCACAGTGTTTCAACAGAATACTTCTTTCAAAAGGAATGATCGTGACACCTCTGGCACAATATAATATTTTAATTTGTGTGATGTCACCTAAAACAWTGAATAACTTATATGTTAAGYGTATGCTACGTCRAGTGTATAAGCAGATTAAAAAATCTGCCTCAGTTGGGTTCTCGCRGSACTYGAACCACTGACCTCTCGTTTRCTAGACGAGATCTCRATATCAATAWCYCAAGATCTCAATCTGCTTATACACTCGATGTAGCATACACTTTACATATAGATCTGTACCGAGTGACAAGAACACATTTCATCAATTTAATAACTTGTTTATCTGCCACCCCGCTGGCTTAGTTGTTAGAGCATCGTTCTGTACATGCAAGCTCTTGGTTTCAACCCCCAGCTGGACAACCACTCAGGGTCTTAAAATAACTGTGGAGAAAGTGCWACCTKGTAATTACTACAAATGGTAAGACSTTCAAGTCTTATCRSAAAAGGATGAAATGTTCAGCTAGAATTGGAACTTGTATTGGGTCAAATCTTTGCTTTCGCCATATTGATGRGTAATGTAAAGCCAGGGTATGACCGATTTAAAACTAATTTGGCCAGTGATCATCACAGCGAACAATAGTTTTCATTGCTACAATAACTTCAAATTGTGCTTTTTAGAGCTAACCAATAGTCCCCTTCACAGTCCTCTGTAGCATCTTGTAAGGTAGCTGTTYCTGTGCATTGAAGCAAGAACAGTATTGAGCTTGCAATGAGTGTTTATACTGCCACCCAATTGTTAGTTTGTTGAGCATCTGACTTTTGTGTGAGAGGTTGTGGTTCAAGTCCCAGCCTGACCAACACATAGGGTCTTCAAATAACTGTGTAATAACCACTTTTGTGACACCTTGATAAACAGGCTCAGAAACGTTTCAAGATGGCACCGTACAGTGAAGTGTGAAGAGGATTGTAATGATGAAAAGGATGAAGAGGATTATTAGGTATCGGTGCTTCACTTTGATGTTTAAATAGGTGGAGTTTGTAAACCAATGTAACAATTGCAATGTTGTGTGAATTTAGATGTCCAATCCTGCTTATCATCTCATAAAAGTCCCGGGGGTACTCTTGCCCGTCTAGGGTAGGGATGTGCCGCTGAGCCTCTGAAMCCTGATCCTGTTCCAGAGTAAAAATTGCTGAAATTCATACCCTGTTCCAGAGCAAGATCGCTGAAAACCCTGTTCCAGAGAGGAGAGAGCGTGATTTCATATACCCTGTTCCAGAGCGAGCGCGATTTTATATACCCTGTTCCAGAGTAGAATCACTGAAAACCATACCCTGTTTGGCAGCACGTACCTGTATAGCAAATATAGGGGAGTACCCCCCCCCCCCGGGATCAAAGTGAAGCGCTGATACTTAATTGGTAGAAATCTTAAAATGTGTGGCATTTTTTTATCATGGTATGGCATGTAGAACAGCATATATGAATCGTAACTTGTCCTTAATTAGTTTGACTTCTGGGACAAGATAACTAATTYCATTATGGAAACTAGAAAGTCAAACATGCATAGTTGTGAAAAYATTAAACTGACCTCTGAGCTGCAGAGCCAAGTACATAGGCTGCAGTAGCTGTGAGTTGTTCTTCAGTACTATTCAACAGTTTGATAACCAGTTTAAGCCCTCCAATAGTATCAAAATCAATAGCATTATCTGTCTGATGAAGATAGTATTCCAGCTCATTCAAAGCATGTTCTTTTTCTTCTAATGAAGATGAGGTGTTGTTTAGTATTTGTAAATGCTCCTTGATGACATCAATGTCTTTTTTCGGGAACAGATTAGCATCTTGAAGGTCTTTTCTTATTTCCTCGATTGACCTGAACTTAATATTTGCTAAGGTAAATTAAGAAAAGAAAAAATTAATATCCGGGAATTTAACAATTAACTAGAGATGAGAAACATTTTAGCTTAGAGTATTTGAGTTGGAATTATACAATGCACCATTCAAAACGAGACTAAGACTGAGCAAAGAGAACTTGAGTATTCAATTCAATTCACCATTCATTGAGACATGTACATCACTCAGAAAAGTTTTCATTTGAGTGGGAAACATCTGTTACTGATTTATAGTACATGCATATATGGTATGCCAAGCTGTAGCATTGAAATGTATTCCCCTAAGAATGGTACAGTACCTTACTGTAGCCATGATATTAAACTACACATTGTGATCATTGTCGGTGTTACGGCATGTTGTGGTGGTCGTAAGTCAGTATCCTATATTTCCCAGATATATCAAAACTACTCTATTAAAGGCCCGGTTCAGACGTCGATCTTTCGCCCTGTCRAATTCAATTGGAATTGAAGTTGACTCACATTCATTAAAATTCGACATCCGTTTCAAACGTCAATTTTAATTTTGCCAGTCGCGGACCTTAATTAAATCTGTCRATCTCAATTGAGTCAAACGTCGCTCTTCTCATGCACTAAATGTAAATAATTAGATTTGACGCGGCAAAAGATTGACGTCTGAACCGGGCCTAAGACACAGCACTATAATACTGTAGCAGTATGGCGTCAGCCTTACATTAATCATTATATTTGATTATTTCAGTTTTATTACACAGGAAAAAAAACTGGATTCCCAAATTGGGAATTTGTWGGGAATTTCCTTGAATTACCAACGAACAATGTTAGTTTGTTGGGAATTTTGTTTTTCTATTGGGTATTAGAASGAAATTCCCAACGATAAATCCCAACGTCGGTGTTTGAATTGGGAATTCAAGGAAATTCCCAACAATTCCCAATTTGGGAATCYGGTTTTTTTTCCTGTGTTACCTTTAATCTCTTTCTCTTTTTCGTCTCCAGGTTTCTCATTATGGAATTTATCTTTGAAGTCTTTCAAAGCATCCTTGAGATGCTGTTTAGAAAATATATTTTTGTCAATTTGAACAAACTTTTGCTTTGAATGATTTTGCTCCCTAGAGTATTTTTTCTTTTCGTGATTCTTGTATCTTTTTCCATCATCACCGTCCATCAACTTAGCTTGCTTCTCTCCTGATTGAAGATCGATTTTCACGTGTAAACCTGGCGGAATAGCCTGATCTGATTGAACAGTTTGCCATTCAGATGTTGGTTGGAATACTTCAAGATCTTCTCTATCGWTGAATGAATGTACTAATGTTTCGTCATCCCTTTGTTCTGTTTCATCAGTTTTAACAGCTATTATTGATCCTGCTTTATCATCACCCCTGACAGTACCTGGATTAAACGCGATTGTGAAAAAATAGGGTTATATAACACAAGGAGACTTAAACAACTAAATCCATCTGTTTTATAAGTATCCTTACCGTATAAAACTATCAATAAAAGTATTGCAAATAAGTAATGTCCCTTCATTTTGGTAACGTAGTGAAGATTAGTGTGGATTACCGCTGACTCATCATATCGCTGACATAACCACAGGAAACCCACTTTTTATATTTTTGGTATAAAATAAATTTATATAATTATAAAAAGAGTCAGAGAAAAAAATAATACTCATAAAATAAAAWTCCTCAATAGTAATAATTTTTTAACAATAATAATTCTTCAAGATACAATCAGTAATAATAATAATACTTCTACATTAATTTATCAAAGAAAAACAATTGTATTTTGTATCTATATAGATATATACGACGTATAGTTTATCTCTTCATATATCCTACAATAAAAAAATCTATTTATAATAAAATAAAAAAAGAGGTAGTAATAATAATAATAATAATAATAATAATAATAATAATGTCATAATAAAGAAATTTTGTTTTGAGAATTTGGGATTCCTGTGTTTATAAGAGCATCAAAGTCGAGCATGTCAGTGGTGAGTAACCGCTGCCCTCGTTCTGGAATATAATTCGTCACTCGCTCACTTATTCCAAACTTCAGGATTTTAGCTTCAAAAAATATTCATTTTAGACCACAAAAAAACACATTTAGAGTCCTAAAGAGCTCTAAAGTGTTGGATCATCATTATGGTGTCCTATATAGCGTCTAGAATTATCATGTAAGTAAAAAAAACGCTTATTTGAATATTATTTTCAAATGTCATGTTCTGTGTTTACATGCCTTCAAAAAATTTCTAAACCACAGTTCAATATTATTAATATTTTTTATTTCTTTCTTGGTTTTCAGGCTGGTTTTTGGAACCCTGTATCCGGCTTACAGCTCATATAAAGCCATCAAGACAAGGAATACTCGAGAATATGTAAGATTTTAGATGAAAATAGTTAGTTTGAATGGAGCTTTTTTTCGCCAAGTCGAGTGTTATTTTATACTGCATTGGCGCTCGTCATTTAATGTCCTTTATTATTTTAGCTAATACAGTTTTCTTATCACAATATGTTGGTATTGCATTTTTTAATGTTATTTTGTCGTTAAGTTAACATAACAGTCTAAAAAATGGGCAGTTAACAAAGCAGTTTCGGTCGCTGACTAGATTTCTGGAGTTTCCATGGCTGTCTTGCCCTAATCTCGTAAAACATCTCATTTTGGTGTCTCATTACTTAAATCATCAGCATAGGCGTTTATTTAGAAACGTTTCTTTTTTGTTATGAGAAAAAATACAAATATGTTTATCCTGGATCTTGGGGTCTTATCCTGCACCCCAGRAAGCAGCTGTTTTTCTATTAAGCTTACCTCCATTTAAATTTTTTCCTTAAATGCGCCTTCATAACCTTATCAGCACGATCAACAGTAAGGCCATAGAGAAGCGGTTCTTTTGCTGGAAGGAAAAACATCCACAAATAGTATTAACATTATTATCATAATCAACATAAAAACCATTGAGAAGCATTTGTTTATTGGAAAGGGAGAAAAAATCTACAGTAATCCCGGAGTAGTCAATCAATAACAATCGATACCGCTGATTTGATTGATATCGATTGTATCTATCAATCGTTAAAAATCGAACTCACACTAAATTTTTGTATCGATTTTTATCGATTGATTGATTATATACATATCGATTTTTTCCATTTATGTTCTTGAACAATTTCTATCGATGATCGTACGAGGGTTGTGTGGCTACGGATTTACACCACCGGCAATAACTCTTTCGTAACCATAGCTTGACACAAACTAGGAGTTTGTTATAGTGATCAGTGAACAGACAGCAAAAGTACCTGGATAATTAGCTGCCTGATCTACCTATAATTACATGTGAATTAAAAGTTATAAAATCTATTGCACTATTATTGATATTTTCAAATACTTTCCGTGAAATAAAGCTGATTATATGATTGTACTCMTTATTGGATCGAATTAAAGCTGTCAAATCTTGATCGATAAAAATCGATTAAATCGATAAAAATCGAACTCACACCAATTTTTTTAATCGATTTTAAACGATTTCCCATAAAAATCGATACAAATCAGCTGATTTCTATCGATTTTTATCGATATCGATTTTTATCGATTGATTACTCCGGGAGTAATGCAATCCTGGACCATGTGAATCTTGGCCTGCATCATGAAGCAGTTGCACTTTCTATTGTATAAAAATACGCAATGCACAATTTGGTAGGGTAACTTGATCTAAACTGAGTAATTTTCATCTAGGCCCTTTCTAGTTGAAATAGGATTTAAATGTTGATTTTTGTGGAGGGAGGAAAACCAGAGAACCCAGAGAAAAACCCTCGAAGCACAGGAGAGAACTAACAAACAACTCTACTCACATACGACGAGTCTGAAGATCAAATCCAGGTCGCCTTGGTGAGAGGCGAGCGCTCTACTAATCACTATGCCACCCATGCTTATTGTATCTCAAATTTGTTTTTTTTGGATATGTTTTTTTAAAAACAAAACCGTTATTAAAACCGTTATTATCATAATTTCAACATTAACATTAAAACCGTTAAAAAAAGTTTCTTTATTGCCAAGGAAAGGGGAGTCCACAGTAAAGCAATCATGAATCATTTGAATCTCGACCTGAATTAGGAAGCAGCTGTTTTTTTAATTAGCCTTTAAAGTAGGATATTTGTTAACCTCATTATCATAATCAACAGTAAAAAATGCCTCTTTACCTTCTGACTAGGCATTTAATTTTATAGTCAATGGTATAATGAAATTTGTAGTTGAATCTAACTCCTACTGTATACCAGAAAGGTGGTGGTGTTTTAAAAAGTATATAATATTTGAAAATGTGCTTTATTCATTTAATAAAAGATAAGGGCATGTTGGAATCATTAGAAAATCAGTTGCTATCTGCATTTTATTATAATATGGCAAAAAAAAATTTGGTTTAGACAAAAGAACATTCTAGATTTGAATATTATTTATTTTAGCAGTAATATGAGACAATTATTTGCCAAAAACAAAGTTATTATAGGGGAATATATAAGGTATAGATATTCACCAAAACTGACTGAGCCTAAGGTGAACCTAAACCTCATAATCACTGCTCTACCATTGATTATCCTCTTATATTCACTGGTGGCTCAACCATTGATTAT